GCTGGTCGTCGTGCTGCTGCTGCTCCCGGGCGTGCGCGTCTCTTCCGCCCCCGTCGCCGGCATCCCCTCGCTTTCCTCCCCCGCTGCCCGCCCGCCCCCCATCTCTGCCGTCGTCCTCTTCCACAACGAGTACGCCACGCTGCAGCACACGCTGCAGTCGTGGGTCGCCCACGGCCTGCCGGACCACGTCTCGGAGGTCCTGTTCTTCCTCAACGGCGTGCGCACGCCCGACGAGTTCCGCGCCCGCCTGCCGGAGCTCGCCGCGCCCCCGTGGGCCGCCCTCGCGCGCGTCGTCGCCTCCCCGCAAAACCTCAAGCTGGGCCTGGCCATCACCCGCATGGTCACCCTGGCCAAACACCCGCACGTCCTCCTGCTCGAGAAGGACTGGGCCCTCATCGAGCCCGCCCCCGTCGTCGCCGCCCAGCTCGCCGCCGCCGCCCGCCTGCTCGACGACCGCGCCGCGCACGTCGTCAGGTTTCGCCATCGCCACAGGCCCGGCGCTCCGCTCCACGCCCGCATCATGCATGAGCATCGCGAGAAGCAGATGCTCACCCAGCAGAGCAACTTGTATTGCTACCTGCACCACTGGGTGAAGGACCCTGTGGAGAGTTATGCAGATTTCTTTTCGAGGTGCTCGGATCGCCCGGAGGATGGGGCCACGTGGTGCGCGAAGGCCAAGTATTGCCAGTGGACAAATAACCCGGCCCTGTTTAAAAAGGACTGGTTTTTGACCGAGCTGGGGGACAAGTATATCGCTACATACAACAAGACGATTGTCAGCGACCCGAATTCCGGCATGCTCGACTTTGAGTTCTTCACAAACTGGAAGGCCGACGTCTGGAACGACCGCGATTTTGTCGTCGCTCTTCCGAAGGGACTCTTTGAACACCAAGAAGTCGGCGAGCAGAACGTGCAGAACACTGTCTGGTACGGCTGGATGCGTCTCAACGTCGACGTGGAGGAGAAGAGGAAGGCCTTGTTTGAGAGTGAGACTGCGGAATGCGCGGAACAGGTCAAAAAGTTGGAGTCGGGACCCTCGTTTGTCGAGAAATATCCAGTCGAGTTTGCTCGTCTGTACCATTACCACCGCGCCATGAATCGCACCTCAGACGAAGCGGTGGAGGAATTGCAGAAAACCGCCCAAAACATGCGTGACCAAATTGAGAGAGGGGAAGGAAGCTGGCGCAATGGCGTTACCACCTTGACGGATGCTTATTACAAAACTGTGCTCTTTGCGTACCCGACTGAGCCGGAGGATATGGACATTGCGTTTGTGTCCTCGCTTTACAATGCGGACTCTGACGAGGAACCAGGTGATGCCGACGTGGATGTCTTTTGCAGCAATCTCAGTTTCTTGCGCCATTATAGGAAGGTAGTGTATTGCACGGCTGAAACTCAGGCTAGAGTCGAGGCAAAACTGAAGGACCAGCATTCGTGGAGTAGTGAGGAGCTCAGTTCTATTACGTTTTCGCCAATGCCGTTGCAAGATGTTTTCGACGAACTCTTGGGCAAGGAAAACCTGGAGAGGATCAATGTAATCCATGGCCAGGACCAATGGACGACGACCGTGCGAGAGCGTGGGGAGCTTATGCCCAGCGTCAATTTTCTGTCGATGACAATGTCAATACCATACATGTTGCGAGCTGCACTCGATCTTTCGCCGGCTACGCACTTCGTTTGGTTTCAGGGGTTGTCGCGGTGCATGGTTACTAGTGAGAAGGTTCCGCCTTTGACCCGTGATAGCGACGTGGTATTGCGCGGATACCTTTTACTCAGTGCTTTTTTGACTGGCGTGAAAGCGCAGACGCCTGAGGAACGCAGAATACTGCTGGAAGGTTCTGGTTTCCCAGAGGGTGACCTATCTGTCGAAATGGAGCTCAAAGAGCATGAGCAGATGCCGCTCGCGGATTTTAAGTCGCTCGGTGGCACCAGACTGGGTGTTACGCTGATGACAGGGTACTACGACGTCACGCTACGCGACATGCTCAGAAAAGGCCGTCTCGGAACTGGAAGAGAAGCGATGTCAATTGCGAGGAAAAACGTGGAATATCACTTCAACTTCTTTGAGGGAGCTCGCAAATGTAGAACTGGTGACGCTGCCTGTCCCAGTCAAGCGGCGGCAGAGGACTACCTGAAAGAAGAGGCTGGCCTGGGCTGTAACTTGTGGGGATGGACACGGAGTTGTGGTGTCAGCGAAGGGTAAATTTTCTAAAGCCTTTTTGCTTATGGAACGGTTCATGTCATTGGACAAGCATTATATTGCCTTGCTTGGTGCCTTCCAGGAGGAATTCATGTGCTCTTCGTCCAGTGCCCTCCTGGTACCGTTTCGATTGGTCATCGTTTGGCAATCAGGTTGTGGTCTCCGTGCTGTCGAAGCTTTTCTCGAACTTTGCTGTCTGCGTGGTGGCCAAGCATGTGACTATGTTTCATCCCGTACCATTCATTACAAATCCTTCACCGTCGTGCGGGAGAAGCGCTTCTCGGACGGCACTGTGCCGGTGCATTGCTCCCAAAAAATGACCATGCAAATAGTCGGAGTGTGCTGGTTCAGAGCAATGGGCCCTTCCGGAAATAATTTTTTGTGTCAGAGGCACATTTTGTCGTCGGCACTGTACAGCGATGACAGAGCTAGCCCTAAGTGGCCGACAGTGTCCGCGTCGGTGCGCCGGCGGTCCCCGATTACCATTGGTAATACCTGTACCCTTCTCAATGGCTATATTTGGGCCATCTAACAATGATTTAAAGAAGAATTCAGCTTATGCTTTTCTTAAAAAAATCTTTATCACAGGCTATGATTTTGGCATATACAGTACGAACTCATACTGCAGATTTCAAGCATTACACTTGGAGTAACCGTTGCGTACCTAATCACCAATTTTCCCGATACACGAGCGCGACATTCACAATTTTAATTACAAAATATGAAAATACGCAAACGCCCCCATCGCAATCCCAAAGGGCACCGATATCACCGCCGCCAGCAAAAAGTGGCAATTGTTCTCACCAACCAGCAAATTTCAAAAAAGCCTGAAGCTTACTGTAACCTGCCAAAACTGTATAATTTTATGGGAATTGCCTAATTGCCAACCACAAATTTTAAGAATTTATGTGCCGTGGCCCGTACGTAACGTAACGTCCGCTATAGAGCTTCTCAGACAGCATAACGTGAGCTGCTGGGAGCACTTGAGGCACGATCACGAGCTCGACTTCGTCTGCTCTCTCTACTTCGGCGAAGAGAAGTGAAAACGGGGGAGCGTTGAGGAGCAAGAGTCACCAGACGACAGCGGTCTGCAGCAGAGTCTAAACGATATTCAAGTCGCAAATCGTTCTGTTTCATCTCTTCCGGCGTCACTTTCGCACCATGGCGTCGGCAGCTCTCCCCCTCTGCCAAGGCCTCGAGGACAACGTCTGCCGTAAGATGTGCGCCCTTTGCAGTAGAAATTCTAATTTTCCCTTGCTCCTCGATGTCTGCGTCCCGAATCAGGCTTCTCCCTTGCCTCCTAAAAGATAATACAACAGTCTCCAAGCTCGGAGACGGTGCCAATTCTGAGTCATTATGTGTGTAGAACGCAAGCCCCTGAAGCGGTTCTGCACTTGCAGTGCGTGTTACTACATCTCAAACCCCACACTTTTTAAACCCGCTACATATATTAGACACACTCAGGGCGTCTGAGAGTGCATAACGAATTATATCTGCCACATCGAAGGCGTCAAGAATAGATTTGCTCATGGCCCGGCTATGTACTTCCCGTTGTAAAAACGACTTGAAAGGGCCAAAAACCGTCACATCAAGGGGCTGTAGAACATGTGACGTATGCGCAGGAAGCCCCACCACCACTACTTCATTGTCCTTTAGGTACTGCAGCACCGTATACTGAATGTGGCAATTGTAGCCATCAAACAGCAATAAAAGTTTTTTGCACCCGACACGGAGCTCCTTAGTCTCTTGAACAAAAGATGCAGCCCAGTCCAAAAAAATTTTAGAGTCCACGCCAGCGGGATCACGCTGATAAAAGTGGCATGGCGGCAAAAAGATATGCACAGTCCGAATTGTAGCACCCACGCGACGGTAATGTGGCTGTTTTCCCGGGTACACCACAATCGGCTTGAATGCCTGACCAGCGGCATTTACGACACACATAATTGTGACTCGATCTAAATTGCCTTTCGTTTTTGCAGCAGTAGACACCAAGTTACGATTTGCCAATCCAATCCCCTTTCTTAGGCTTCTACCCGTCATTTTGTGAAACGAAATCCCAGACTCATCCACGTTAAAGATACGTCTGGGGTCATTAATACTGTAGCGATGAATAATTTCTTGCAGCCGGGCAATGTGTTCGCAAACTATGGGCCGTGTAACGGCCTTGATACGAGCTTGTTCTATTGCTCGGACAGGTTTTATACTTAGATCTGAATGACGAGTGAGGAAGCACTTGACCCAGCGGAGGGAAGGAAGCCTGACAACAAAAGGCAATTGGCAACGACGGTGCCATGGCAGCATCTTGCAAACTTGACTTGCCAGTTGTCGAAAGTTCGTGAGAGTAAGTGGTGTGTTATGATTAATAAAATCTCGGGCGCAATCAGCTCTTCCTCAGCTTGCAGTAGCAAAACGGGACGTCCTGTTTGTCTCACGGTTACAGTTATGCCTGAAGCCTGCTCTGGCTCGCGGGGGGGTGGGTCTTTGACCCAGGTACGGTACGCAGTTCGACCCTTCCAAAGCGTAACTCCGTGTTTTTTGGTCGCATGCTTTAGGGGGACCGAGCGGAAGGCCTGGTCAAATATCACGTTCTGTAGCTTGCGGTAGTTTGTCGTATCCATGGCTATGAAAAGGGCTGGGTTTGAGAGTCACAGTATGTGTGCCAGGCCGCGGAAAGGAAGTCATGGGGAGAAGGGGTTTTTGGAATGACTCGGGAAGAGAGTCCAGCGTAATTTATGTCCTGTCGCTGGCCATATACGGATCATAGGGATCCGGGCGTTGATTTTGTCGCCTTCGGTTTCGCGCTAAAGTTGTATGTGCTCGTCTGAAAGGAGTTCTGTTCGTTGTTCTTAGCGGGAAGGGTGGTGGGGGAGGTACTACACTTCGAAAAACTATGTGAAAATCCCGGTTGGTAATTAAGCACAAGTTGGTAATTAAGCGTGCAAAAGTTAGGTCTCCAATGCAAATGAAGGGGGTTTGCGCAGAACAGTGACAATTGCAGGACGACTCGGTCCTTTTGAAGGTGAGCTAAAATATGCTGTAGTGGACTCCAACAGCCGACTCAACGCCCTCTACAGCAATGCATAAAAATCAAGAGCAAAAATGATACTTTTACTATAGTACAGTATCTTTCTGCTGTCCCTGCATGCTTTCGCTTGGCTGTCTCCCAAACAGCTCCCTCAGCCCCTCTGCACGAAATTGGCGTTGCACGAAGTCCGCTCGTCTCTGACGATAGCTTTTCTGTATCCTTCGGCGTCGTTCGAGTGGAGATTTCCCAACCTGATACCACCTGCTTGTAAGCTGATGGTATAACTGCATGTCGTCATCCCGCAACGGCTTCCAGTGTATGTGGAAGTTCGTCAGCCCTAGACATAGACGAAATATGGGGTCATAATTAATCTCGGACCAACGGCCTGAAGGCAGGCTGCAACGTCACATCCGTGGCGTACCTTGCCATAGGACAATTTTTAAAACATGCCCATTTGCGTGCAGTTCCTTCATGGTACATCTCTTCGTCTGGTTTGAGACGTAGTGCTCATACAAAGGTTCGGATAAGAGCTGTATAAACCGAAGCACCATTCGCTCCAACGCGGACGTGTTCTGCCCAAACATCCTCGCCAAAAAATCCCACGTACCCCAGTGCTTGAGAACCGCCAATACCATAAACCGCACGTCTTTAGGCTTCTGCGCGCATTTGCGCCCACGACCCACGTTGTAGTTTTCAAGGACCAACGCCTCAAACCCAGCCCAAATGCCGATGAATTGGGCCGCGTTGAAGTTGGTCATCTCCACAATGGCCTTCGCACCGCCTTCATCGTAGAATCGGTCAAATATTGGCGCATCAGTCCCATTATCCTCATCACTGTCCTCTGGGCGCTCGTCCTCGAACGCCTCGAGCTCATTACGGCGATCAATTGACGCATTAGCGAGGAGTTGTAGGGCTTGTGCTTTATCGTGAGATGAGAAGCAGGCCATAGTGCGGTGTGTGATAATGATAGGAAAAGGCGGACGAGAGCGGCACGCGGCGGAGGAAGCGGGGGTGGGGCAAGAGGGGTAAAAGTGGCAGAGCAGATGGAGAGAAACTAGTGCGGAGTGGGAGAGAGACGATTGGGGACTCGGT